CCGGTGCGACGATTATTTCGCAGTGTAAATGATTTTTTTTTTAATGTTCTATTATTATTTCTGGAAAGAACACGCCCTCGTCTATGGATTCTCAAAATTTTAGATTTTTGTGCATGTTCGTTCGAGCAYARAAAATCGCCAAAGTWGCCTCTTGCAAAACGCCTATTTCGTTGTGTCTGATCTCCCTGTTTTCAGAAGACGGGGCTCAATGCCTGGGCCTGAGGGMCCTTTTGCAGTTMAYATACCCTCACTTCTTTTTGGGGTCCGCTTCTAYCCGGGGTCCRGTCCAACGCCCCCCACTTCTTTTTGGGGTCCACTTCCACCCSAGGASCGGTCCTTMCTTTTTYCAAAAGTCCCGGTTCTAGCAGAGCTAGCTGTAGGTAGTCCGCAGTTTGCCAAGGACCGATCCCCCAATTTTTTTTGCCCCCTAAGAACCCATTTTGCGTCCTGGTCGCCCGCCGCCAAAAATCCGACACCTTGACACAGACGCGAAAGCCCACTATACCGCAGCCTAAGGGTTGCGAACACACCGTGGGAAAATCGAGGGTGGGCGGGTCCGCTTCGCCAAAATCTGGCGACGAAAATGACTCGGGCTCTGAGTAGACTGGTGCCTGTGGTGTGACTGCGGGTTCGCTTACGCGATGGGCGTAGCTGCAGACGGACGAAATCCCGAAGCCGCTCCTCATGAGACAAACCAGCCTGCCGCGACCGGTCCTGTGTCGGTCGCTTATACACTCGTTGCTCCTAGTTCCAGTGGTGGTCGGTCCTTCGAGGGGCTTCTTCCCGCAGCGTGAGTTCCGCTGAAACGTCCTTCGCCGATCTTGGTTCTACTAGCTCACAACAGTAGATTTTGAAAATTAAGCAATCAAATCTTTTAGAAAAATAGGCTTTACTTCAAAACTRAAGATCCACGGGGTAAAAACCTCCGAGAGGCAGTTGGATGAAATGACCGGTAGGTCCCACTGTCTTGACAAAAAACCAAGTGATGGTTGAATCGGAACCCACAGAGTAGGCACCAACTASATGGGTTGRAGTACGACAGTTGTTGCATGGGTCCAGACGAGATAAAATAAGAAAAACACAAAGCCTTGATGATGCCAGATTGCTCAKAAGTGAGTCATWGAGTTGGGGCCGCAGGCYCACACACCTCCTAGACCTCCCAAAATCCCTCTATCATCCCACAAGTGACGTGTCATCTTGCAGGGAGTGGTAGAACGAGCGAATGAGTGATGGAAGCTGGAGGCAGAAGCGAGCGATGTCGGAAATAGCTGGAAGTTATCAAGCGGGGCTAGAATGGAGTARCAAKYTAATAGAGGAGTTTGGACCAGGAAAACGATGGCGAAATGGGATGAACAAATTGTTGTTTGAATAGAATGAGTGGTTAGAACGAAATGGAGTGGGCA